AAAACTAGTAAAAAAAAGACCAGTGCTTTGAGATTGTGAGAGCTGGTTAGTGTTTATAAATACAACTTCACGCTTATTACTGCTTCCCAAAACGTCTGAAAATCAGAGTGCCAAAGTCGATAAGAAGGAGAGATGAGCAGCATCAGCAGAACCACAATGGAAGAAGGGGATTCAGTGCCTGTGGTCCTACCTGGGTTCAGATTCTATCCCACTGAAGAGGTGCTGGTGGGTTACTACTTGAAGAAGAAGATAGAGGGCAAGGACTCTAACTTCAGCCACATCATCCCTGAAATCGATGTCTGCAAGCACGAGCCTTGTGATATTCCTGGTAAGTTGTAACCCATTAATCTTTCTCACTTCTTCTTCACTACCCATTTCCTCATTTCTAATGTTACTTTGCTTTTGTTTATATAAATTTATGATCTTGATCAGTTCTGTTGTCGGGTAGTTCAAGACTTGATGTAGGTTGGTTTCAATATCTTATTTTGTGTTGCATTTCGCTTTCAATTCTCTGGAAAGAGCCAACCCATTTCACATTTCTAATGTTCTATATTTAAATTTACGATCTTGTTCAGTTGTGTTGTGTGAATACTTCTGGACTTGGAGTGGATTGGTTTTAAATTTTCGATTTCGATGCTCTTGAAATTTGTGATCATGTTCAGTTGTTCTGTTCAGTACTTGAAGACTTGAAGTGGTTGGTTTGAAATTTGAATGTTTTGTTATGTGTGGCATTTCAGCGTTCTTTGAAGAGCCAGACTTTCCTGATCATGAGATGGAATGGTTCTTCTTCAGCCAACCTGATTTTAAGTACACCAATAGCACTCGCTGTAACAGGGCCACAGATCAGGGCTTTTATAAAATCACAGGCAAGGTTCGTGAGATCAAGGCACGACGATCCAAAGCTGTGATTGGTAAGAAGAGGACCTTGACTTTCTACGAAGGTCGTGTGCCGAAAGCCAAGAAGACCGACTGGATCATGCATGAGTATTATCTCACCAGCACTGAACTGGCCCAACTTGGTCCTAATCCCAATCAGCAGAAGGACTTTGTTCTCTGCCGCCTGAAGAATAAGTCAGCTAATTATAAGAAGGTGAAGGCTGATTTTGGTGGCTGCATTGCCTCTAATTCTGAAGATGATCAAGCTGCCGCAACCGATATGATTTCAGAGCCATTAGAACATCTGGCATCCCAAGAGGTAGGGGATGTTCTGAATGGTAATGGTGATCATGATGAATGCACCGAGTCTCCAAATGGTACTGGTCTGATAGACAACAATGATATTTCAAGCTGTGATGATGATGAAATTGATACCTGGATTTTCTATGATTTTGATAATCAAGCTGCATGTGATCTGTTTCAAGAGGTGAGTGTAATAGTGCTTTTTGATAATTTTTTATATAAAGTTGCTTATTCATGCTTGTTGAGCAATTTTTATATGAACTTGCTAATTTGGAGCCGCAGAAGCATATCAAAACTTAGCACTTGCTTGTTTGTGATTCTTAATCCAGCAGTATTGTGCTGAGCCAGGAGAAAATCTGGATTCACTCCTTCCTCCACCGCAGCCACCTCAGCCACCTCTGCCACCTCTGCCACAGGATTACTGCTCCTCCACACAGCAGTCACCAATATACACAAATCAGGGAAATGTTCCCTATGTCTATGATGGTGACTGCAATAGGCAGCAATCTCCGATTGGGGATAGGAATTCTTATCTTACACATAAGAATAATATGTCAATGAATAATCAAATTGAACCAGTGAGCAACATTACTTATGGTGTTCAAAATCGAGCTACAGGTGAAAGTAATTCAGAGGTGAGAATGAGCGTGCTCTTTAAATTATGTTTTTTACATATGAACTTTCTAATATGGCAGAAGAATGACATCCAAACTTAATGCTTGCTTTGTTATGATTCTTAATCCAGGTTAATAATAATTCAACCAATGATTTCAAGGAACCAGTTAGCATCATCACTTGTAACTTTAATAATGGTGCTCCAAATGAAAGGATTTCAAAGGTGAGAATGAATTTCTTTTAATTTTTTAATACGTGGCACAAGGAGTACATCCGAACTCAACTCTTGCTTGTTCTGATTCTTATTCCAGGCTTGTTCTCAGCCAAAAGAAAATCTGGGATCATGTTTTGATCCATTTCAGCTACAGGATTTCACGCTGCTGTCACCAATGAACTTGGAACTGGGAGATTTTGAGCATGGCAATAAACTTTATTGGCATGCAATGAGTTGTAACCTCTGATCTGGAGGTTATGACTCTTTTCCCTCAAAGTTCTTATATACAATTATTGTTGATCAGGAATATTATCCTGCGAAGATACACCAAACACTATTTTCAGTGACCCTAATCTACCGGAGTCATGGGGAAGATTCTATGATAGCACTAGTGAAGTAAGAAGAAGTGAGAAAAAAAAAACACCGAGTTAATGTATGGATGGGTAGTATGTTTAATCTGCATTAGCGGTACAAGAGAAACCTCAACATAGCTAGTGAACCACAATATTTTACTTTTAGGAGAACATCAATAGGGGCCTTGTATACCCCAAGAGGTAACATGACCCTTGTCTACATTTTTGGAACTGGAGGCTTTGGAAACTTATTCATAGTTGTGGACACATAGACATCTATGTCCAGGACAAACGAATCAGGTTAACTAAGTCTGTTCTTGGTCTTTTGGGCCATTGCTGTGTGTGACAGCATTCCCAACTTTTGGAAACTTGAAGCTTGTAAGGTGAACTTGTTGGTCACCGAAAATTGGCAACGTTTGAAATGCCATCTGGAACTCTATTCTCCTCCGGCGAGTCCAGACGAAATAATTTGGAGACCATGTCTCTCTCCTGTCAACAGAACTACAAATATTCGCCAAATCAATTGTCTTCAAATAGTGTACTCTCTTAATCAAAGGTCACACCATCCCTCTGTTCATGTTCATACATGGGAGGTGCTGTGAGAAGAATCCAACTGCAAAGCTGTATCACAAGACAAGGTGAGAGAATCAGCCTAAAACATGAAGAGAAACCTTTATGGCCTTCTCACTGTAAATAAAAACTCTTTTATTGAAGCTTTGAGGAGGCTATTTGCTATTTTGCTCAAATTAACGTGATTTCTGTAACTCTGTTTACAGGTTAGAGAAGCTGCAGAGTATTGCATTGCTCTCCATCTGAAAACCGAGTCTTGGAAGCATACGGTTTGAAGCAAACATCAACAGGGTTCTTTCAAGTTTGGAAGCATCTCCTCAAAACCATTAATCAAGTCCCCAGTGGGACGTGGTATAATATCTCGGTACGAAGTTCTAGCTCAAGCCTTAGGCTTTCGTTCTGCTCTCTATTGTTCTGGAAGTGGTATTATACAGGATCTGCAGCTGCATGGCTGCTGGAATCTCAATATATGTTACAACTTACAATAACCAGACACTAGTGTGATGTCTGTGGTTATTGGTATGGAAGTTTCGAGGTTCCGTCCTTAATGGAGTAGTAGTTACAATCATAGTAAAACTGTATGATTATGATTGGTTTAAAACACCCAAGAATCGTGTTCTTGTAAATGTTGTTGATTTTGTTTTTTTGTAATTGGCCTGTATCAACTGCTGCGCTCCTGTGCAGCATTCCTTCTCCTTTTTTTTCTACTGTATTATCAGTTTGTATTATATTATCTTTTCATATTTCAACCCCCCAATGTTGAATTAATATGCCATTGTTCAGTTTTAAGAAAGAATGATCGGAAAAAAGTTTAGCTAAACGTGGCTCCAAGTGGCAGAAATTTTGAGTTTTTCACGACAAACCTATGGTGTTCAAGCCTAGTTTTGCCACGGAAAAATTATGTTTTCAATATACAAAATTATAGGTGTTTTAAGATTTGAGGGTTTGTAACCTATTATAGGAGAAATCGAAGCTCAAAAGTGACAATTACAAAAGGCATTTGTGGATGTTTCTATAAAATACTTCAAATCAGTTTAAATAACATTCATGGATTGGTTTTAGTCATGGAAGATTCTCCAATAAGTATTTTAGTCACGAGAAATTCTCCAATTATGAATGCAATTCAATAGCCGAAATTAGAAATATATAATCAAGTTTTAACTTAAATACATATTAGAGAATCTCCCTTTTGTGACATAGCGCCAATACGTGCATGGTTTTTCAATGTTGATTCACACAATATCTAAATTTTCAATATCAAAACTTAACAAAACTTTGAGCATGAAATTTTTAAATAAAAAAATATTTAGAAACAACTCCAAAAAATGTTCGTCAAAAATCCGAAACTCATTTTAAGTAGAAAAAGACAAATAAAGATTGAATTTTTCAAATAAGAATGAACGCTTAAAACTAAACTAAAATACTCAACTTGTTTTATAATTGAAATAGATACTTAACATCCCAAATAATAATTCTTTATGCATAAAGCTTTCATCAAAACAAAAGAAATTAACTCTTTAAAATAAAAAAAGATAATAATAATAATAATAATAAAGGTCCCGCCGTGCGGCTATACTCTTTAAAAAACAAAAAAATAAAATAAAGTACCGCCGGGCGGCTAAACTCGTGAAGGTGTAAAAATCAAAAACTATATAGCCGCGCGGCTATACTCTTGGAAAAATGGAAAAAAAGATTAAAAAAATGTATAGCCGGGCTGCAATACTCTCTAAAAATAAAAAAATAAAAAATAGTATAGCCGGTCGGCTACAATCTTGAAGGTAAAAAATTAAAAAAAGTATAGCCACGGCTATACTCTTTGGAAAAAAAAATATTAAAACATGTATAGCCGCGCGGCTATACTCAATAAAAAAATATAGCCGCGCGGCGATACGCTTTAAAGATAAAAATTTAAACGTATAGCCGTGCAGCAATACGTTTATACGCTTAAAAACGTATAGCCATTCAGCCGCTCGGCTATATACGATTTAGATAATATTCTCTCTAACTCATCATCCAATTTTCTTTTTTCCCTTGTCGAACTTCCAATGTGAGCGAGAGAGAGAGAGAGATTGGAAAACCTCAAGATAAAAAATGAGAATCCAGATATAGATAAATTTAAGGGAGTTTCACTAAAACACCCAAAATGGGAGTTGAAATTATAAAAAAACCCAAGCACTATTTAAACATATAAACACACCCAAAACCCATCATTACACACACTCAAAACCCATTTATAAACACACCCAAAAAGTTGACTTTGGGGTTAATTTTGGGTGTGTTTCTATGTTTAAATAGTGCTTGGATTTTTTTATAAATACATGTCTAAGATTGGGTTTATTTATAAATTTGTATAAATTTAATCCATCCAAAGCTGCTCCATCAAACATGCAAGAGCAGTTTCCCCTAAACCCTAAATCACATGCCATTAACCCCACTGTTAAATGTATATCATATTCAAACACTTAAAATTCACTTTTTTTATTTTTTTAAAAAAATCAAAACTTAAAATTCACTTTAAACTATCACTGTAAAGTGAATTTAACAAAAGTATAGCCGATCGGTCATACTTAATTTTAAAAAAAAAAATTTATAGCCGGCCGGCTATACGCTGCAAAATTAAAAAGAAGTATAGCCGCGCGGCGGTACTACTTAAAAATTAAAAACAGTATAGCCGACCGGCTATACGCTTTAAAAATTAAAAAAAATATATAGCTAAGCAGCGATACACTTTTGTTTTCCCCTCAGAAGTCTAGAATGTTCCAGAAATCTCTCGATTGCATTTGTTTTCCCCTCAAAAACTAAAACAACGATAAAATGAACTAAAATTACTGAAGCTGAACTTGCAAGAGCAGGTCGACAAGATTCCTTTACACGGGACATAAACAAATGTAGAATACAAAATTGAAGAAAAAGAAAGGACCGGATGGGACCCACTGGTGTGGCGCAACGCAAGCCATGCCATTGCTGGTCACTCACTCGTCGCCAAAAATAAATTTTCTATCTGGTATTTGCACCCACAGGTGGTTTATGAATAAAGCTTTGATATGATCTGTTGCCTGCTTCTTTTGGATGAGTAAAGCCTTTGATCTGATCCATGTGTCAAAAGTCTAGAATGTTCCTGAAATCTCTCGTCTCTCGATCGTATTTGGTTTCGCATCAAAATCAATGGTAAAATGATGAAAAGAAAATTACTGAAGAAAAGATTCATCCAAAAGGACAGAAACAAACATAAAATACAATGAAAACGCGGGAAAGGACCGATGGGGGACCCACAGTGAGAGATGAACTTGTATGGGAAGCTCAAAGACCTGTGGAAAAAAAGAACAGCAGTAGTCAAAACCCTCCACAGTGCTTGCTTTGAGTGAGTGGGTCTTGTTTTCTTTCTATTTTTTCTTTTTCTTTTTTTGGTCAATTGGGTCTTTGTCCAGTGTTCATAAATACAGCTTCACTCTGGTGCTGCTTGCTCACAGAGACAAAAACATTGATTGATAGGAGGAGGAGAGATGGGCGGCGGCGGCGGCACAACAGATGAAAGAGTTTCAGTGCCGATGGGCCTACTACCGGGAATTAAATTCTCTCCCACCGACAAGGAACTGCTTTCCTTTTACTTGAAGAAGAAAATAGCGGGCGAGGACTCTGAATTCAGCAACATCATCCCTGAAATCAATTTGAGGGAGCACGAGCCTCGTGATCTGCCAACTGGTAACCCATTAATCTTTCTCACTTTTTCTTCACTACCCATTTCCTCATTTCTAATGCTACTATGTTTTTGGTTATAAATTTATGATCTTGATCAGTTCTGTTGTTGTTACTGAGTGGCTTGGTTTCCAAATTTTGTTTTGGGAGATTCACTATTATATGCAGTTCGATTTCAATGCTCTTGAAAAGGCCATCTCTTTTCTCATTTCTAATGTACTATTTTGTTGTATGCATAAATTTATCATCTTGATCAGTTCTGTTCTTGTTGAGTAACTTGGTCTGTTATGTGTTACATTTCGATTTCAATGCTCTTGAAAAAAAAAAAAAACCTAACCCTTTTCTCATTTCTAATGTACTGTTTTGTTGTATGTATAAATTTATGATTTTGTTTAGCTGTTGTGACTCACTTCAAATACTTGAAGGGGGTTGGTTTCGAATTTTCTATATTTTGTTTCTTTTGCATTTCAGAGTTCTTCTTCAGCGAACCTAATTACATGTCCCCCAACGGCGATAGTTGCTACAGGACCACGAATGAGGGCTTTTATAAAAGCACAGGCAAGCCTCGTGAGATCGAGGATGAACTATCCAAAGCTGTGATTGGTGAGAAGAGATATATGCCTTTCTACGAAGGTCGTGCGCCCAACCACAAGCTGACCAAGTATGTCCTGCATCAGTTTTCTCTCACCAAAACTGAACTCGCCAAACTGGCTCCTAATCGGGAGTTTGTTCTAAACCACCTAACAATTAAGAAGGGTTCAACTAGGGCGTGTAACCCTAAACCCAATTGTAAGAAGCGGAAGTATGATTCAAATTGCGATAAATTAGCTGAGCATGGTATTCCTGGTTACATCGCCTCCAATTATAAAGATGATCAAGCTGCTGCTGCTGCTAATATGATTCCAGAGCCTGAAGAGCATCTCGCAGATGAAGATGTTCTGCTTGGCAGTGAGAATCGAAATGAATGTGCCGAGTCAGAGTCTGCAAATGGTTCTCGTCTTATAAACAATAATGATAGTTCAACCCTTGCTGTTGGTTCACCTGGTGGCTGCTTCCTATCTGGTTATGGTAATGTAGCTGCATATGATCCTTTTCGTGAGGTGATAATTATCCTGCCTTTTGAACAATTTTTTTTCAATATGAACTTTCTATATCAGCTCAAGAATCTCATCAAACCTTAACGCTTGCTTGTTATGACTTTTAATGCAGGTTTCCTTTCAGCCAGAAGGAAATCTGATATCACCCCTTCATCCATCTAGCCTACGGGATATTCCTCTGAGGTCACCAGTGCACACAGGACTACCGGGAGATTTTATGTGTGCCAATAACTCTATCCTTATTGGCATGCAATTATGAGTCGCAATCTTCAGATAATCTGGAGTTTACGATTCTTTTTCCCACAAAGTTCTCGAATAATTTCATTGGTGACCAAGATTATTATCCTGTGTAGAAACAACATGCACTATACTTACAGTGACTCTGATCTACGAGAGCCATTGGGAGGAGTGTATGATAGCTATAGTGGTGTAAGAAGTGAGAAGAACACTGAATTACTCCATGGATGGGTAGTAGGTTTTTTCTGCATTAGTACTGCAACATAGATAGTGAACCGCAACATTTTAGTTATAGGAGAACATCGATAGGGGCCTTGTAAACTACGAGGTCTTGGAAGGGTAGAACATCACCCTTATCTACTGGAGGATTTGGAAACTTGTTGATAGTTGTAGAAATTTACGTCGGACAGGACAAACGACACAGGTTAAGTCTGTTCTTGTTCTTTCGGCCATTGCTCAGCATTCCCAAGTATTGGAAACTTCAAACTTGTTAAGTGAACATGAGAACCACCGGCAAGTGCTAATGTTTGAGATACCATCTGGAACTCTACTCTTCTCTTCTCTGATGAGTCAGAATTTTTTTTATTAAAAAAAAAAGAAAAGAAAAAGTCTTTTCTTAGAAGTAGTACTGTGGAGACCGCATCTCTCCCAATTGTCTTCAAATAGTACTCTCTTACTCATAGGACACACATACCTCAATATCAACCAGCATCCATTCATGTCTTCACACACAGGAGGTGCTCCGAGAAGAATCCGACTGCAAAGCTGTATCACAGGACAAGGTGAGTGAATTTGACCTGAAACATGAAGAGAAGCCTTTATGACTTTCTCACAGTAAATAAAAGCTCTTGTATTGAAGTTTTGAGGAGGCTATTTGCTATTTTTCACTAATGTGATTTCTGTAACTCTGTTTGCAGGTTAGGGATGCTGCAGAGTATTGTTTTGCTCTTCATCTGCAAACCAAGTCCTGGAAGAATACGGTTTGAAGCAGGCAACAATAGGGTTCTTTCATGTTCTTGGAAGCATCTCCTTGAATCCATTAATCAAGTCCCCGATATTTTGGTAACAAGTTCTATCTCTAGCCTTGATACCCAGGCTTCCGTTCTAGCTCTAGCCTTAATACTCAGGCTTCCGTATTAGCTCTAGCCTTGATACCCAGGCTTCCGTTCTAGCTCTAGCCTTAATACTCAGGCGGGTTCTAGCTCTAGCCTTAATACTCAGGCTTCCGTTCTAGCTCTAGCCTTGATACTCAGGCTTTCATTCTAGCTCTAGCCTTGATACTCAGGCTTCCATTCTAACCCTAGCCTTGATACTCAGACTTCCATTCTACCCCTAGCCTTAATACTCAGGCATTTGTTCTAGCTCTAGCCTTAATTCTCAGGCTTTTGTTCCCAAGTTTCTAGCTCCACCCTTGTACTCGGGCTTTCGTTCCGTCTATTATTCTTGAAGTGACATCATACATGATCTGCTGCTACATGGCTGCTGGAGTCTCAATATACAATACAATAACCAGATGCTAATCTGACGTCGTGGTTAATCGTTTGGAAGTTTTGAGGTTCCATCCTTAATGGAGTAGTAGTTACAATCAGTGTAAAACTGTATGATTATGATAGGCTTAAAACCTATCTATCACCTTCAGGTTGAAACACCCAAATCCTACAATCAAAAATTGTATTCTTGTAAAGTTTGTTTTTGTAATTGGCCCCTTTGTGTACTGTATCATCTGTGTTAATATTGTGTATTTAGAACCTTTCAGTGTTGAATGTAATTTTGTGTGTTATATTTCTCTTTTTCATATTTCAATCCCTCAATGTTTAATATGTCATTGTTCAGTTTTAAGAAAGAATGATGGGAAAAGAACAGAAACAAATATAAATTACAATAAAGAAAACAAATAAAATCTCTGAGAATTTGGGAATGGGTTCTGCCGAAATGGAAGAGGGTTTGGTTGATTAGCCCAAAACTTGAAATCGCAATAGTAGCAAGAGATGGTAGAGAGACGAGGAGGCGATTATGGGTTTGATTTGAGTGGGAGTGAATAGGTAAAAGATTGTGATGGGTTTGAGTTAGACTTTTTGTGGAAGCCATGGAAGCCACTGTGCTTGCTTGCCGAGGAAGGGAAAGTAAATGAAAGGATTATTGGAATGAAAAATTTAGTTAGTGGAACAAAAAAATATTGGAGCACTAGTTGAGGGATAATTTCGGTCGAAAACCTAAAAATAAATTTAGAACTCCAAAAAATGCTCTTGAAAAACCCGACAATCATTTTGAGAGGAAAAAAAATATATAACAAAACTGAAATTTTCAAATAAGAAAGTGCACACTAAAAAAAAAAAACCTTCATTAATGGATTAACAACAAATGCAAATAACTATATAGACAAGACGAGTAAAAACTTGTAAGAACTACAATAATGATTGCCAATTTGAAATCTAAACCTGTTTTATAATTTAAATAGATTCTTAGCATCCCAAATAATACTTCTTTATGGATAAAACTTTGATCAAGAGCCCAAAAGTGCTTACTCAACTTCTTGGGTGAGTAAAGCCTTTGATCTGATCCATGCATCATAAGTCTAGAATGTTCCCCTCAAAATCAAATGAGAAGGAGAGAAAATTACTAATCTCTCTGACCTTCCAAGAGCAGGTCCATTGTATTCCTTCAACAGGACATAAACATATACAAAATACAATAAATAAAAAAGGAGGGAAAGTACTGGCTGGGACCCACTGGTGTTACGCAAGCCATGCGACGTCACTCACTCAGGTGAACTTGTATGAGAAGCTCAATTGGTTGCCTATAAATACAGCTTCACTCCGGTGCTGCTTGCTCACTGAGCCAAAAAACATTGATTGATATAAATCTTTTAGTTCACTAGGAGGATAAGGAGGAGGAGGAGGGATGAGCAGCAGCGGCGGCACAACAGATGGAGGGGTTTCAGTGCCGATGGGCCTACTACCCGGATTTAGGTTCTCTCCCACCGAAGAGGAACTGCTTTCCTTCTACTTGAAGAAGAAGATAGCGGGCGAGGACTCTGAATTGAGCGACATCATCCCTGAAATCAACGTGTGCGAGCGCGAGCCTCGTGATCTGCCTGGTAACCCGTTAATCATTTCAAATGTTACTCTGTTTTTGTTTCTATAATTTATGATCTTTAACTTGATCATGATCTTGATCAGTTCTGTTGTTGTTATTGAGTAGCTTGGTTTCCAAATTTTGTTTTGTGCTGCAATTAGATTTCAATGCTATTGAAAAAGCCAACCCTTTTCTCATTTCTAATGTACTGTTTTGATGTATGCATAAATTTATGATCTTGATGTTCATCAGTTATGTTGTTGTTGTATGAGTAGCATGGTTTCCGAATTTTGTTTTGTTCTGCATTTCGATATCAATGCTCTTGGAAAAGCCAACCCTTTTCTCATTTCTAATGTACTGTTTTGTTGTATGCATAAATTTATGATCTTGATGTTCATCGGTTATGTTGTCGTCGGTGTATGAGTAGCTTGGTTTCCGAATTTTGTTTTGTTCTGCATTTCGATTTCAATGCTCTTGGAAAAGCCAACCCTTTTCTCATTTCTAATGTACTGTTTTGTTGTATGCATAAATTTATGATCTTGATGTTCTATCAGTTATGTTGTCGTTGTTGTATGAGTAGCTTGGTTTCCGAATTTTGTTTTGTTCTGCATTTCGATTTCAATGCTCTTGGAAAAGCCAACCCTTTTCTTATTTCTAATGTGCTATTTTGTTGTAAGCATACATTTATGATCTTGTTTAGCTGTTGTGTTGTTGAGTACTTGAAAGGCTTGAAGTGCGTTGGTTTCATATTTTCTATATTTTGCATTTCAGAGTACTTCTTCAGCAAACCTAATTACATGAACACCAACAGCAATCGCTGCAGTAGGACAACAGATGAGGGCTATTATAAAAGCACAGGCCAGGTTCGTGAGGTCAAGGCTGAACTATCCCAAGCTGTGATTGGTAATAAGAGGATTTTGCCTTTCTTGGAAGGTCGTGCGCCCAAAGGCAAGATAACCAAGTATGTCATGCATGAGTTTTCTCTCCCCAAAACTAAACAGGCCCAACTGGGTCCTAATCCCAATCAGCAGAGGGAGTTTGTTCTAAACCACCTAACAACTAAGTCAGTGAATTATAAGAAGCGGAAGTATGATTCAATCTGCGATAAAGTAGCTGAACCTGGTATCGCCTCCAATTATAAAGATGATCAAGCTGCTGCTGCTGCTAATATGATTCTAGAGCCCAAAGAGCATCTCGCAGACAAAGATGTTCTGCTCGGCAGTGAGAAATGTAATGAAGGCGCCGAGTCAGAGTCTGTAAATGGTTCTTGTCTTATAGACAATAATGATATTTCGACCCTTGATGTTGGTTTACTTGGTGGCTGCTTCTCGTCTGGTTCTGATAATCTAGCTGTCAATGATTCGTTTCATGAGGTGATAATAAACTTGCCTTTTGAACATATTTTTTTTGTCAATATGAACTTTCTATATCAGCACAAGAAGCTTATCAAACCTTAATGCTTGCTTGTTATGATTTTTAATGCAGGTTTCCTTTCAGCCAGAACGAAATCTGATATCACCCTTTCATCCATCTAGCCTACGGGATATTCCTCTGATATCACCAGTGCACACAGGACTGCTGGGAGATGTTGTGTATGCCAATAACTCTATCCTTATTGGCATGCAATGATGAGTCGCAATCTTCAGATAATCTGGAGTTTATGATTCTTTTTCCCACAAAGTTCTTGAATAATTTCATTGGTGACCAAGATTATTATCCTGTGTAGAAACAACATGCACTATACTTACAGTGACTCTGATCTACTAGAGCCATTGGGAGGAGTGTATGATAGCTATAGTGGAGTAAGAAGTGAGAAGAACACTGAATTACACCATGGATGGGTAGTAGGTTTTTTCTGCATTAGTACTGCAACATAGATAGTGAACTGCAACATTTTAGTTATAGGAGAACATCGATAGGGGCCTTGTAAACCACAAGAGGTCTTGGAAGGGTAGAACGTCACCCTTATCTACTGGAGGATTTGGAAACTTGTTGATAGTTGTAGATATTTATGTTGGACAGGACAAACGACACAGGTTAAGTATGTTCTTGTTCTTTCGGCCATTGCTCAGCATTCCTAAGTATTGGAAACTTCAAACTTGTTAAGTGAACATGAGAACCACCGGCAAGTGCTAATGTTTGAGATGCCATCTGGAACTCTACTCTTCTCTGACGAGTCTGAATAAATAAATAAAAGTCTTTTCTTAGAAGTAGTAGTGTGGAGACCGCGTCTCTCCCAATTGTATTCAAATAGTATACTCTCTTAATCATAGGACACACATACCTCAATATCAACCAGCATCCATTCATGTCTTCACACGCGGGAGGTGCTCCGAGAAGAATCCGACTGCAAAGCTGTATCACAGGACAAGGTGAGTGAGTTTGACCTGAAACATGAAGAGAAGCCTTTATGACTTTCTCACAGTAAATAAAAGCTCTTGTATTGAAGTTTTGAGGAGGCTATTTGCTATTTTTCACTAATGTGATTTCTGTAACTCTGTTTGCAGGTTAGTGATGCTGCAGAGTGTTGTTT